AGTATTTTCAGTTAGTTTTACTTTTAAAAATAAATTCCATGTAAGTTTCATAATGGAAGAAAGGTGAGATAGAATTGAACAAAAATAAAACATGGGCCCGTTCAACTCTAATATCTGATTATTGAAGTGCTTTTTACCAGAATAATAAGATCAAGAATTTTAGAAGAAGAATCTGAGAGGTCAGAAAAACTAGGAATGAATAAGTTAACTTTACTTCAGAGTTCCATTTTGCTGTAGCTTGGATGCATGGTAGAGTTTCAGGGTGCTGGGTCCAATTTCTGAGGTCTGCTGTCCCTCCTCTTTCAGCTGCAATGGACCACAGACGGCGGGAACATTCTCAGTGAAACAGTGACAGTTACATTTGCATCACCACCGACTGAGGGTAAGAGCAATCCAAAGACAGCTAAGATTGCTTTTGCTGAGTTTGTGAGAGTCACTTTTGATCCTAGGTGGAATTACCCTTCCTTTACTCAAAATGCTGACTTCAGTGGAGGTTTCAGGGCAGACTCCATTCTGTTCCTTTGCCAAACACATATGGATGAAGCCCCTATGGATCTGTTTCGCCAGCTGTGAAGGCTTCCTCTGGAGGGAGGCCATGCAACCCAGAGCTGGCAGCCCTGACTGGGAAACTTATTGGTGGCTGCAGGAAACTGAGACCGATTCCCCACAAGCAGCTGTGCCGCCGTCGCTCTTCCATTTCCCCCGGTTGTATCGGTCAATTTCCCACTATTTGCTGCGTGGATGCATTTTGACCCGCATCCCCCCCTGATTTTCCCCACGTCTTCTCAATCCTGTTTTTTGAGGATCAAGACGACGCGGAGGAAATCGGGGGGGAGATGATGATGATGATTACATGGGATTTTTACCACCCCCCCACCCCCGAAGGGCTCTGGGCGGCTTACAGAGTATCGTGTGTGCACACACTTTCTAGAATCCTAACTATGGCCACAAATTCAGGGGGATGGGAACCCTACCAGATACCCTCCGAAGGCTTTTTTTCCGCAGATGTTCTTGCTTCTCCTTCCGTCTTTTTTTCCCGGGCGGTCACATGGCTCTTCACGCAGTTCTTTCTTAGAGGGGGGACTTCAGTTAGCTATCTTCCACAGCGGCCCCTGCGTGGGTCAAAATGCAGCTGTGCAACAAACAGTGTGAAATTGACCAATGCAACTGGGCAAACAGAACAGCGAGGGCAGCACAGCTGCTTGTGGGGAATTGGTCTCTGTCTTTGAAATCCACATGCCTGGTAGCCACCCTGAACACTTGGAAATATTGCCTAGGAACGATTCGTTGTATAATAGTATCCATTCTCGTTCTTCTGGTACGATGAGCGCACTGGGGTAGCAGGTGTTTGGATGGGAATGTGTTGGTAATTGTTTAGTAAATTTAAAGGAAGGAACTGTATTTTGTGTTAAGGTGATTAAGATTCTTAATTGCGTTCCTAAACCACAGTCAAGTAATTTCTTGCATGCTTGAATACGTACAGGCACTTTCCATGTCAGGGTGACCTCCAGCCTCAGGCAGTCCTGTAGCCAGGATTTTTTTCCATCGGGGGCATTTAAATTTCTTAGGGGGCGGTTAATTAAAGTTACCGTAATTAAAGTCACCCGCCCCAAAAAAACCTCAGTGAAATCATGACTCACCAGCAGAGAAAATCTCTAGGAAGATTCAAAGGAGGACCGTAGGAACTAGAGTCTAGAGTTACAAGACTGTGGGAAATGGAAACAGGAAGGAATGAGCAGCTCATTATGGGCTACAGGCTACCCCCAGAAAAGAAATGAGGATTTTGACTTTGAGTCACAGACTGCAGTTCATTCATTCAGTCCCCATCGCAGCCCCCAGAGTAAGGGAAGGGCTCCTCAGGCATGCACAAACAACTCGTTCTGTAAGATCTAGCACTGTTCTTGCTGCGAAGGAGAATGCTGGAAATACAGGCTGCCAGCAGGGGAGGAGTCATGTGACCCTTGGTGGCTGGGTCACATGACTGGGACAGCACAGCAGCCTCCTTGCCCATTTGCCCACTCACTCGCCACCCTCTTAGCAGGTAGAGAGCCACCTGCTTGCTCGCTGCCCTCCTAGTAGGTAGAGAGTCGGCCACTCGCTCACCCACCTGCTGCCCCGGTGCCTAGCCGGCAGGTGGACAGCCGACCACTCACTCGCCCGCTGGCTGGTGCGACTCAATAAATATTTTTAAAAGGTTTCTGGCATGGCTTTTAATTAAGGGGCGGGGCCACAAAATGCCCCACTGTAACTACGGGCCCGCCTCCAGGTGGTCATCTTCTTTACTTTTGCTTAGCTCATTTCCTGTAATTAAGTGAATTGTTCCTGTGTAAGTTCTGCATTTGCTTCATGGAGATTCAGATTGGACTGCAAGTTTCAGTTCTACAGAAATCGGTCTTTGGTTCTAAGTAAGCTTTAAATAAAACACTCTTGTTTTTATTTGAATTATTGAATGTGGTGACTATTGAGCCTCCCCCCCCTCGGCCCTCCCCGCCACCTTTAAACTCTTCTGAGGTTCAAAATGCCCTGACCTGCCTTGACGTGGATAGTCCAGGCAAGCCCAATCTGGCCAGATCTCGGAAGCTAAGCAGGGTTCGCCCTGGCTAGTATTTGGATGGGAGACCTCCAAGGAATACCAGGGGTGTGACGCAGAGGCAGGCAACCTTTCTAGCCCTGAAAACATTATGGGGTTCACCATAATTCAGCTGTGACTTGACAGAAAAAAAAGAAGAAGATTCGAAGTCAAGTAATGCTGTTCCTTCTAGCATGGAAGAAAAGTATGTCCAGATCGGGGAACATACATGATTGACTATTCCTAATAATGTAGGAATCAGACAGGTTTTTTTGGAATACATGAACTCTGCATTTCTGTCTTTGACTTTGCATTTCATAAGGCCTGATGCTCATTGGCTGCTCAGGATTTAAAGCCAGGTCCATTCAGTCCAGTGGTTCCCAGACAGATTAATTCACAGAGCATGCTAACATTGCTGGTGATAATGGGACACAGAGGAACTGATATGGGGTACCAACGGTTTTGGATAGTGGTGAAGGAAAGGAAAGGGTTGGTAGGATGGCTGTGGAAGACAATGTAATGAGGGGAACTGACCCTTGGTAGCAACAGAACAGTTTGCTGTAGTAAAGGACAGCAGGTCAGGCAGGTGGTATCAGGGCCCGGGAAATGGAAAGACGAAGCTATACAGCACAATGAGGATGTGGTGGTAGTAGGCAATAAGTAGGTGAGACAAACTGTTGTGGAGGAGGAGGAGATTAGATTTATACCCAGCCCTTCCCTCGGAGTCTCAGAGCGGCTTACAAACTCCTTTCCCTTCCCCTCCCCACAACAGACACCCTGTGGAATAGGTGGGGCTGAGAGAGCTCTGACAGAAATTGCTCTTTTCAAGAACAGCTCTTATCAGAACTACGGCTTGCCCAAGGTCATCCAGCCAGGTGCAAGTGGAGGTGTGGGGAATCAAACCTGGTTCTCCTAGATTAGAGTCTGCGCACTCAACCATTACACCAAACTGGCTCTGCTAGAACATTTGTGTGAAAGGTTGTAGAAGGAGCAGACAGCCTATGTAGGGGATTCCCAAAACGATCCACTTCAGATACTTAGACCTGTAAACATAGCAGCAGACTCTAACCTGGGAGAACCGGGCTTGACTCCCCACTCCTCCTGCTGGTGTGACCTTGGGTCAGTCACAAGTTCTTTCAGAGCTGTTCTCTCAAGGGCAGTTCTCGGGAGAGCTCTCTCAGCCCCACCTGCCTCACAGGGTGTCTGTTGTGGGGGGGGGGAGATTGTAAGCCACTCTGAGACTCCGAGTGAAGGGGGGGGTATAAATCCAATCTCTTCCTCCTCCTCTTCTCCTACTTCTCCTTCTCTTTTGCCCAGGAACTTGTTCCCACATTTCCAAGACTACATTGTCTTACCCCTGATTAATCCCATCGATTCTTTGTTCTGAGGGATCCCTTGCATTAGCAAGCCCTCTGGACATGTTTTTTACACAGAGTCAAACACTGGGCTCTCACCTCTCTGCCTCTGAGCCTTCAGACACTATCCTGGGTGGGGAGGGGGAGAGTAGCCCCCACTAGCTGGCATGCTGGCCTGGCTGGAGAGGTGGGGGCAGGGCTGTCCCAATCATCTGGGTCATAATAGCAGCTTCCCACCACTCAGCCAGAGCCTTATACCCAAATGGATGACTGTAACCCCCCCATGTGTGAAATGGAAAAAGATGACAAATACCTTTCCTCCGAGTCTAGATTGAAAGACCATTAGCTGTTTATAGAGAATAGTTAAATCAGATACATTTCCCCCCCTCAAAGGCAAAGCTTGTCCCTGTCCCCCCTAAATATTGCTTTGTTTTTGGCTGTGCTTGTAGGAAGTTCACCGGAGAAGACCATTATCAAGGTGGAATCTAATCAGACAAGGGAGCTCTTAGGTCCAGAGATGACTCAGCTCCTTTCTTCCCTTCAACCCAGAGTGTTTGCCCAGCTCAAGGTACCATCGCCCGCTTTTTTCCACAAGCAGTCCAAAATGGCTAAAATGGGAGGGTCGTTCTGTGTAATAGGAAACTGGCTAATGGGAAATACGGCTTTGTCCATTAAAACGGGAAAGAAAAATCCCCTCAAAAACTGCCCAGATGACCATTGAACAGAGGTCATTTCGGGGGGGAACGCGGGGGGGTCGCAGTTTCCCCGGGTGAGGTATGGGGGATGGGGCACATGACGAAGCCCCGCCCCCTGCTTCCGGCCGCCCCGCTTCCGGCCCTCATTCAGCCAGGAGGAGGCAGGAGAAGAGGGAGGGTAAGTTGCTTCCTCCCTGCCTCTCCCCACCCCTGCCTGCCTGGGGCCAGGGAGGGCCTTCGCGGGGCTTCCTCGCACTCCCGCCGGCCTTGCAGGTCCATCGCCGGGCCC